TTTCTTTCTTTCTTTCTTTCTTTCTTTCTTTCTTTCTTTCTTTCTTTTATGGAGTGGGTTCTCCCCTTCCTAATCACCAATAAAAGATTAGCATTCTAGATGTTGGGCTGCTCTACAGCTTCGCACTGAATGACTTTGTCCATCCATTAATTGACCCACACAACTAGGGAATTTATGCCAGTGAATTTATGCCCATTCAGGATTCCTTTTGCAGTGTATGCATTGTTTCTCTTCTCCCAAGTGTTGAGTGTCCCCCTCCCCTCACCCTGTGCTAGCTTACTATTTATCTATATAGTATATTTCTTAAATCAAGAACAATAACAAATCTCATGTCATTATTTGCTGTATTTTCTAGATATAACGAATCCACAAATGAGTTAATTAATGAAGAACTAGGTATAGCATACCCCATCATAGATGGCATTCCTAATATGATACCTCAGGCAGCAAGAATGGTTGGCAAGGAGAAGCAGGAAACAGAATCTGAGCAAACCTAGAAGATTATCCTCTTGGAAGGAAGTTGGAAGACAAGTGGAGTAAGATGTTTCCCTCATTTCCTACCATGACTGTACTTGTCCCGCTGTTGTCTTTAGTTGGCCTCTTCTATTCAGCCAGTGTAGATGAAAACTTCCCCCAGGGCTGCACAAGTACAACCAGCATATGTTTCTACAGCCTGCTGCTTCCAGTTACAATACCAGTTTATGTATTTTTCCATCTTTGGACCTGGATGGGCCTTAAACTTTTTCGCCACAACTAGATTGTGCTTAACTCTTTAAGAAGCCTCTTAAAATAAAGAATGAAGTTTTTTGAAAACTGGTTTCTTAATATTCTGGCCTTTATAGTACACCTGAAATGAAACGGAGGCTAACTATCTTCAGATGCAAGTACATCCAAGCAAATTGAAAAGTCCCTTGCTCATTAGGGCATGCCTACTCAAAGCACACAGGAATATCAAACAAGAAATCAAATATGAAAATCAAGAAAGCAATACGAAGGGATACAAGGCAAGTCTTCTTTCAATGAAGGATCTTAGGCATGCAACAACGCAGTCTGGATGTGTAGGAAATGTCATTTTTCTAATCTTTGGTGAAAAAAAAATTCTGCAGAATTATTCCAAAAGACAGTTTCATTACCTGATGATTACAGGCAATTATTTATATAGACTGAGTACAAAATAGTGTTTTGTCAAATCCATAGATGAAAAGCTCTGAATGAATTAGTATTTGAATGTTAGTACATTCAAATACATTTCAGCTCGGAATGTGTAAGAGGGTCACAGGTAAACTATATGTAATAGTGTTCTTGGCTTACTGACAATGTAATGTTAGACTTGATTTCTCTTTGATGAAGCTGCACTATTGTTCTGTACAGACCCAGGATTTTGAACTCAGATCCACAAATACAATTGTGTTGTGTCACAAAAGTTGACACTAAATGAAAAATAACAAAATTGAATAGGAAATGGTTTCTAATAAAGCATCTGCAGTGCCTATGTATTTTGTATACTTACTGTTGTATTTTTATATATGCTGTGGAACCTTCTTTTTTAAAAGTACACACTATTTTTATTCAGGTTTTATAAGGAAAGCATCGAAATGATGTAACACTGCAGTTGGTTGCATGCCAAAATGAGCCTCTAGATTACGGATATCAAACTTGATCGTGTCATGTGACATATTGTGATGGTTTTTTTGCCTTTGCGGAGCCAGGGTGAGTATGGCCTGCATGTGATACATCCAGCCCATGAGCCACCAGTTTGACAGGCCTGCTCTGCCTATCACTGTCTTATATGTGTCACATAACCACAGCTTGATTATAGATATACAAAATTGGATGCTTACTTGAAAAAAATGCTGAAAGCAAATTTCTTCTGCATTTCTTAGATAGTGCCAGGTATCCTGTAGTAAATACTGCTTCCTTACATTCATTGTCGAGGTTACAATGTATTCCTAGGATACAAACAACTGGGTTATGAGTCATTTTAGCAAATTTTGTTAAAGTTGCATTATGTTCCTAGGTATACATACCATTTTGTATTTCCAGTGCAACATTGTGCATTTTGTTTTATGCACCACAATTTTATCATCAAGATTCAAGATCCAAGGAAATTGGATGAACATAGGTAAAGCCAGCTGAAATAACGAAGATGATTTATGATTTAAGACATGCATATTTTAAAGTTGATTTATTATAAAACCAAAACCCAACAAATCATATTATTGCTCAAGAATAAAACCCACAATAAAGGCAACCATTTTAATAGAAGAGAAAGTCTGTAGCTCATAGCTGAACTATGGGATTTTTGGTGCTCTCTGAGTTTAGTTCTTTGCTTGCAGACGTTTCATTACCTAACTAGATAACATTATCAGTTTAAGTGTTAAGGTTTATTGCTTGCTTACGTTAGCTTGCTCTGCCAGTTTGGATGGGGGTCTGATTATCTCCTTGGTGGTTTCTTTATTAAAGTGCCTTCTGCCTGATTGGTGTTAATCCTGCTTAAAACTATGTACTTTAGAACCCACAATTATCTGGCACAATAGGCACAGACCATGATATTCTAAAATTTCATGTTTGGTCCACAGTATTGATGTAAATGGCCCGAAAAGAATGGCTCCATATTTCTTTTAAGATTCCCCCAGCAAAACACTTCCCTCTCTCTGATAGAAATAAAAAAGGGATATTTGACCAGAAATAAACTTAATGAAATAATATCTTACACGTATATCAGAATATGTCGACTCAAATTGTAACAAGAGCTGCTCAAAAAAACAAAAATAATTAGTAAGCGACATTGCAATGATGCTTAAAAAACTATCCCTTTGCTGGCATAAGTACCCATGCTCCCTGGGAGCTATTCTATGCAAAAAAAGTGCTATCAGTTTCCACTATAGTCAGATAAATAGACACATTTTATTTAGAGTGGCATTTTAAAATAGTTCACTGATATATGCTGAATATTCTGAAGTGTAAATTGCGCTTCAGTCTTGCAGTTTTACATCTCCAAATTCAGATCTGATGAGGAAGATGAAGTGGAGAGAAGAGAATTTGAATTGCTTCCTCATGCATACTGTACCAGTGGTGTCAAAGTCAATTAGAAATGTAGGCCACTAACCGATATCTAATACCTTCTTTTTTTAATTAATACTGTACAATCCAATAATCAGGAAGTAGGCGTAACTAGTATGTTACTATGATTTTGACTTGATTTTCAGTGTTTACAGGAAATCCTTGATCTAGTGCAAGCTTGTCCAACCCGCGGCCCATGGGCCGCATGCGGCCCAGGTCGCCTCGTAATGCGGCCCAGTGCCCACCCCAACCATCGTGGCACAGCCAGCGAGAAGGAGGAGAGGCAGGCACGAGGCAGGGCGAGGCGAGCGCCAGGCCAAGCAGCAAGAGAAAAGGCGGGCGCCGTCAGAGCGCCACCTCCTGCTGTTACCGCCGCCGCTTCTGCCCCTACCACCGCTGCTGCTTCTGCCCCTGCCACCACCCCCGCCGCTTCTGCCCTGCCACTGCTGCTGCTTCTGCCCCCACCGCTGCTGCTGCCCCCGCTGCTTCTCCCGCCACCGCTGCTGCTTCTGCCCCCGCCGCGCGCCTGCCTCTCCTCGGCAGCGGCGGCGGGGGTGGTGGTGGCGGGGGCAGAAATGGCAGCGGCAGAAGCAGCAGCGGTGGCGGGGGAAGAAGCGGCGGCGGGGGAAGAAGCGGCGGAGGCAGCGGCAGCGGGGGCAGAAGCAGCAGCGGTGGCGGGGGACGAAGCGGCGGCGGGTGCAGAAGCGGTGGCGGCGGCAGAAGCGGTGGCGGCGGCGGGGGCAGAAGCCTTCCCCCGCTGCTGCTTCTGCCCCTGCCGCTGCTGCTGCTGCTTCTGCCTTCCAGTCCTGCCTCATCCAGCCGGGCTATTTGCAGGAGGAGAGGTAGGCGTGAGGCAGGCGAGCTTTCTCTCCCCCCCCCGCAAAAAAAAATTTGGCCGGAAAATAAACTGGGATAAAAAAACTGTGATTAAAAAAAAACGTGATAAAAAATAAATAATTTTTAATAAATAATTAATAATAAATAATAAAAACATCTCACTAACTTTATTTCCAAATAAATTTAATATGTTAACTATGTTTTCTATGGTTTTTTGGGATGATCGGGTATCGTTACTGTTATTTTATTTTATGTGCGGCCCAAACCAAATTTTCATCTTCTAATGTGGCCCAGGGAAGGTGAAAGGTTGGACACCCCTGATCTAGTGGTCTAGTGACAATGGCACTGAATAGAGTGATAGCCGTTTTTCACACTTAACAATATTTGCAGCATCCCCATGGTGGCGTCATTTGGATGCTTGACAATTGGTTCATATTTATAATGGTTGCAGTATTCCGGAGTCAAGCAAAGTCAATAGGGAAACCAGGTTCGCTTAACAACCATGCCACTAATTTAACATCTGCAGTGATTCACTTAACAAACATGACCAGAAAAGTCATAAAATGGGGCAAAACTCAACATAAACTTTAGGCTTGATTGTGGTCATAGGTCGAGGACTACCTGTGTTCATATATAGGTAGTCCTTGACATACAGCCATTCATTTAGTGATCATTCAAAGTCACATTGAAACTTTGACCATTTTTCACACTTCAGTCCGTTGCATCCTCACAGCTTATTTAAGCTGTTCCTTTAGAAAGGAAATATATAACAAGTCATGTCAATGAAATATTGTAGAAGAGTGTTGTGTGATTTTATTTGAAAAACTGTTCCTAGTCTATTGGCTAATTTCAAAAGCTTAACCCAAAGCTATTATCCAGTTTAATACTATTCTACCACTTTCAGATATCTTTTATATTGGAAGCAATATATCAGGTGAAACTCAAAAATTTAGAATATCGTGCAAAAGTTCATTTATTTCAGTAATGCAACCTAAAAGGTGAAACTAATATATGAGATAGACTCATTACATGCAAAGCAAGATAGTTCAAGCTATGATGTATCATAATTGTGATGATTATGGCTTACAGCTCATGAAAGCCCCAAATCCACAATCTCAGAAAATTAGAATATTACATGCAATCAATAAAACAAGGATTGTACATATCAGACCTCTGAAAAGTATAAGCATGCATATGTACTCAGTACTTGGTTTGGGCCCCTTTTGCAGCAATTACTGCCTCAATGCAGCGTGGCATGGAAGCTATCAGCTTGTGGCACTGCTGAGGTGTTATGGAAGACCAGGATGCTTCAATAGCGGCCTTCAGCTCTTCTGCATTGTTCGGTCTCATGTCTCTCATCTTTCTCTTGGCAATGCCCCATAGATTCTCTATGGGGTTCAGGCCAGGCAAGTTTGCTGGCCAATCAAGCACAGTAATCCCATGGTCATTGAACCAGGGTTTGGTGCTTTTGGCAGTGTGGGCAGGTGCCAAGTCCTGCTGGAAAATGAAGTCAGAATCCCCATAAAGCTCGTCTGCGGAAGGAAGCATGAAGTGCTCCAAAATCTCCTGGTAGACGGCTGCGTTGACCCTGAGCTTAATGAAGCACAGTGGATCAACACCAGCAGATGACATGGTTCCCCAAATCAACACAGACAGTGGAAACTTCACACTGGACTTCAAGCATCTTGCAGTGTGTGCCTCCATTCTTCCTCCAGACTCTGGGTCCTTGGTTTCCAAATGAGATGCAAAAGTTGCTCTCATCAGAAAAAAGGACTTTGGACCACTGAGCAACAGACCAGTTCTGTTTTTCTTTAGCCCAGGTAAGACGCTTCTGACATTGTTTAGCAGCGGCTGGAGAAGAGGAATTCGACATTTGAAGCCCATGTCCAAGATCCGTCTGTGTGGTGATTCTTGATGCACTGACTCCAGCCTCAGTCCACTCCTTGTGAAAGTCCCCAACACTTTTGAATGGCCTTTGCCTGACAATCCTCTCCAGGCTGCAGTCATCCCTGCTGCTTGTGCACCTTTTTCTTCCACACTTTTCCCTTCCACATAACTTTCTATTAATGTGCTTTGATACAGCACTTTGGGAACATCCAACTTCTTTTGCAATTACCTTTTGAGGCTTTCCCTCCTTATGGAGAGTGTCGATGGTTTTTTGTACAACTGTCAGGTCAGCAGTCTTTCCCATGATTGTGCTTCCTACTGAACCAGACTGAGAGACCATTTAAAGGCTCAGGAAGCTTTTGCAGGTGTTATGGCTTAATTAGCTGATTACAGTGGGACACTTTGAGCTAAGAATATTGAACCTTTTCACAATATTCTAATTTTCTGAGATTATGGATTTGGGGTTTTCATGAGCTGTAAGCCATAAACCATCTCAATTATGACAAATCACAGCTTGAAGTATCTTACTTTGCACGTAATGAATCTATCTCATATATTAGTTTCACCTTTTAAGTTGCATACTGAAATAAATGAACTTTTGCATGATATCCTAATTTTTCGAGTTTCACCTGTATTTAATTTGAAGACTATCCAGAATCATCAGAATTCAGGCAAATTTAAAATAAAACAAATAAGCACTTACAA